TTGTTCCTCTTCCTTCTTGTTTACAAGAAGAATGATTATTTAATCACGAAGCAAAGTTTCAACATCCTGAAATAGCTTTTCCGAACAGTACTATTTAGCATGACTTAAGTTTGTTCAAATTATTACTTCTTCAACATTGTTCAGATTATTTTCCAACAATACTACTGTCATTATGGCTGTCATGGGAACTTGTTAATACCATCTGAAGAATATCAACTATCTTTATTGACAAGTATCTATATCATTGGAATACATCATCATTATGGCTTTGATTAGTTCGCATCAATGCTCGTCACACTCATCCAACAGTATATTTGGATTATTGTTGTGATGTAGCTTGCATTAATGCATCTACCATTCTTCCCCAACTGAAAGACCATCATGTTTTTTGGCAGTATATTGGTAATTGGGGTGATGTACTTGTATTATTGCATGTACTGGTTTTTTTTTGGCACGTTAGATTGAGCATTGTCGGCCGGTTTTTTTTTTGGCATGTTAGATTGAACATTGCACGAGTGCTTTATCAACTAAGAAATCACCTTCATCACTTGAAAGAGTTCACTGTGTGCCTGAAAAGCCACATTTTTTTGCTTTGGCATGTTAGATTGAGCATTGCATAATTGCTTTATCAACTAACTAACAAAATTTCTACTTACTTCCCCACTTGATTTGAACAAAAAACTGTCTTACTTACGACCCTCATCTTATCATTCAATCCAATCCTCCCCTCCTATCTAACATAATCTTTGTTTGTTAATACGTTTGCCTTCCCTCCTATTTATCATAATTTTGTTTGTTAATATGTTTGCTATTTGTATTAAAGATGGTTCGAGGTATAAATATCAACTTTGGCATAAATAGCATGAATACCATTGGATAGAGAGGAAAATGAAATTCCATCTGTATTGTTTTAGGAAATTACATATTTTCACATTTTGTTATTTCCTCGTTTGAACTTCCTTGTTCAAGAGCCTGAAAATAGAAATCTAAATGCAACCTCTATCTTTATTAGCACAATCAAATACTTATCATTGTGCCTTTAATAAATTAACTATTTTTGTTGAAATTATGTGTGAATATAGCTTTACATTTATCCACTACATTTATACACCTCCTCCAAGAGGTATAAAATGGATCATCCATTTATTTGCCAGGATGGAGGACACCTCAAATCTTTTTATAGCAAATTATGTCATAGCTCCCAGATTTCTAGATAATTTTAGTAGAAAAAAATATGTAATGAGTTCAAATTTATATCCCTTAAAAATCATATTTTTAGAAAAGATTTGACCAACAAAACTTTTACAATGTATCACACATTTTAACAATCTAATTGGTATTATCAAGTGCTATATATTTTATAAATGAAATATATTTTTATTCTAGATTTTTTTTTGAGATCCAATATTTGACTTATTACAGTGTTATTACTTTATTAGTTTACTAAAAGGTATTCAATGTGTCAAGAAGATTGAAACTGCATAATTTTGACAACAAAATTTGTTGGCAAAAATACAACCACTTTTTATGTATACAGAAATATGAGGAGGCATTCATCTGTACATACCCATAAAGGGAGAGATCCAAATTTTGGTCTCCCACTGTTGGACTAATAGTTTGCTCAAATCCAAAACATTCCATGGAAAGTTTCAATTCATCGATTTTGGTTTCTTTTATATGTCTAGATTTCCATTTTGGAGACACCAAATTGCATTTTTCATCTTAAGCGTAAGACACCTCTTATGCTGGAGAAGACAAGATATTGCCTAGTAATGTGATTGCACTTATCGAATGAAAACATCATGCACCTTCTAAAGTGTGGAAACATATAAAATCTAGTACTTTGCAAAATGCTGTGAACTGAATAAATTTTTTATACACCGTAGATATGGAGGAGGAACTACCATTATTACATTACTTCAAACTGCAAATTGAAGAGGGAAAGATTTACAGAGTTTAATTACGGTATAGAAAAAAAATTATTTCATATAAAATCCTTCCTATTTCACCAAGTCCCCAAATAAAACCAGATCTTGCTTGCTTCCTATACATGTATGGTGGCTACTCTTTTTCGTGGTACTTGAGCTTAATGACATCCCTTTATTTTAGACTCATTTGATCATGTTCTTCTTCTTTTATGTTTTTTTTTAATTGATGTTGATACAACCCATCCTCTTGAGAGGAGAAATTAATCATTTTCAGGATTAACTTGAAAGAAATAAATTGAATCCGTGCCTAGTAAATAATCTGTAATTTGTCTTTTGATTTCAAGAACATGTTTAACTTGTTTTAATCATTTCTTGTAATCATGTTATGATTTAAACTTTTGTGTTTATGATGATGCATGTGCTTAAGATAAATGTTAAACACTTAACAGTTCAAAAAGTTAGTTTCTTTCTGGGCTGGCTTAAAAGATAGTCTAAATCAAGGTCATTATTCCCTTTCTGTTTAGGTTTTATGATGCCCCTCAACATCTAAATGAATGCTTAGATGATGTCAAATTTTTTGTCGAGATAACTAGATATGGACATAAAAGAAACAGCCATTCTTTTTTTTTTTCTCCTGTCAGATTACTTAATTTTGTATAGTTTACTTTTTTTGTCGGTAAATCGCTGTAATGTAATCTTTGTACATTGCCATTCTATGCTAAATAAGCTGAAAAAATTGAATAACTTTTCTTACATTGTTCCATTTGGGTAAATTAGTCAGATTCCATACCATTGGGATATTAAATAAAAAATGTGTCACACCGTAATAAAAAATGTTTAACTTCAGCCAAGGACTAGGTCTAATTTAGCATGTTTGCATTTTCATTTCTTTATTTTTCCCTAAATACTGCACTTGCCAGTTTATAGCAAAAGATTGCACTAAGGCTTTGTTTAATAACTCAATTCAATACTTAAATTTAATAGATTCAAATCTTAATATGTTTAGTTATATTTGATAATAAAAAATAGAATATCTAAATTAATTAAGTGGCACTAAATTTTTTAGGTAAAACTTGGTTCAAAAAATAAGTGAAAAATTAGTCACTTATCACTTAATGTGATATACACTCAAATGTATCAAATTTAGTAATTATTCAATAATTTAATGGGTTCAGACTTCAGATTTAAGATTTAAAATTTTAGTTTTCAAATTTTAGTTTTATCAAATGCACCATAAGCTTGCTAGTGCTTCCTTCAATTATGCTTTTGTAAGCTATCTTATGAAAGAAAACATAATTTACTATGGTATTTTACTTTATTCTTTTTTCTCTTCCAATAGAACATAAAATTTATTATTTTCCAAATAGTAAATCTTATACACATTGACGGTATATATACTATCATCGTTGGATTTATGATATATGTATAAAAATTGAATTTTAAATTCAAATTTTACAAAATTTTCATTCATCCAACGTTTATCATGTGTACATACATTGTTATTATAGGAAAGGTTAATCCTATTTCAAATAGAACTTTAGAGTTATTATTTTTTTAAAAAATCTTCAATAAGACCTTTTCATGGTTTGATAAAGTGTCCAACCTAATTGAGTCGAAAATCAATAGTGAACTTCATGCAAAAGAGCTATGAGATGAAATGAATAGAGCCTCTTGTTCCTTAATCTAGAGCCGGACGTGTGGAGTAGTCTACGTCCTATAGTTTAAAAGACGAGCAATAATTAAGCTTTCTATATATTTTGGGCATTTTTTTGTTAAAAAAAAAAAAAAAACTACTCTATGGTACAACTTAACGACAAACAAACATAGACTATATGAACGATTAAAATTCTTATACTTGTACCTATCATTTAAATGTCATAATTTTTAGTGACTTTTTGTAAGTAAACTCTTTTTTTAATGTGTATGTTGTTTTATATTAAATTTGTCATATAAATACACCCAATCACATTCTAATATTTATATATTTTTCAGATTTAAATCTCATTTTCTAAAAGATTGTCATCTAAAAATCATTGAAAAGTGGACTGGACTCAATTAGACGAGCTCTTCTTCTTCCCTTTCTTTTTTCAAATAATGACACGGCAATAATGCACCCTCTGAATCACAAAAACACTCGCCCTCTTGCTGCTGCTTGTCCATGGACCATTCGTTATCTGTGCGCCAACCCACTCAACTGTCCCATCGATTAAAATCGAAGGGGGCAATAGTGGGTCAAAACTTATTCCTCATGATAAGATGAAAAAAAATTGGACCCCCAGCCCAAATGTCTCGTTTTGCACGTGTACTGATTTGCACATGTGCTCACAAGGCCCTAAAGTCAAAATTGTCCTAATCAATTGCTTTCCGTGAATTTTTTGCACGGATTAACTTTTTATAAAAGTTTGATTTTTTACACTAGCAACTTTAAATAAACACGTGTACATAGTTTAAATTTCAAATTTGAATTGATATTATGTAGCATTGATCTAATTCTGCTTATATAAAAAAATCTTTATTTTGACAGAATATAGAAAATTTATCCAGATTGCCTACGAAACCATATAAATCGTAGTTACATAACAACTTTAGAAGCGCCTACATTTGAACAAGTTTTGTTGTAGTTAATAAGCAAATCCTAGAGTAACTAATTACTGCATCCGATCGGTGTGAATAATGCACTTGAAGTGATTCTTTTGGGCACATAAGAGAGACATGATATGAAATAGTGCTACTAATTTTTTTGTTTTGGTCGACACGATATGTTCTACACCTACTCCTGACAGATTTTTTCAAAAAATTCTAAAGAAAAATTCAAGAAATTTAATCCCTTGACCTATATTCAAAGAAAGGTTTAAACCTCTCTCTAGCGGCAAAAAAATAGTGCTACTAAATGACTCTAGCATTTCTTTTCTTTTCCTCAAAGATTCTTGACACATTTCTCAACGATCGCTTTTTGCTACGTATGCACTATGCCGTACAATGTTAGTGCCAAAAATCAGCGCGAACAGTTAGATTATATATTGGTTTTTCTAAACACTCACTCAAAACCTGCAATCTAAACGAAGCCACAGATTGCCGGCACAAATTAACAGTTATGCTTTACTTGTACTGGTAGGATACAAAAGTAACACATAACACTGTAAAAAGTTATCTAGTACTGGTAGGATACAAAAATAACACTAACACACTGTTAAACAGTTATCTACACGAGCAGATTTGTAGCTAAAAAGGCTCGATTTTGCCTCCATTAAGCCTATATTTCACCCATTGCTGACAATAGATTTGATATAATCAATCAGGGTCTGCCCAATTATACCAAATTGTGCGTCCAAACGTAAGCAAGATAACCCTTAAGGCAGAGTTAAAACATTGCAGTTCCACCTATTTCTTGTTGCTTCAATATGGTCTTCTTCACTTTCTGGATATCAGTCACAGCAAATCTTAGGATAAAGTACGACTGATAATCAAAGGTGAATGGCATCAATTCATCTGCAGAGCAACGGTGGAGGCTAAATTCTCTAAGACTCGTAGCCCTGTATTGCATTGTCGATGGGCATCTTTTGCTCATCCACTCCAGGGAAAGGAAGTAGTCCTAAGAGGCCAAGACCTCCAAATTTGGCATTTCCTAGATGGCCATTATCCAAGTTACATCTCAACATAAACCAAGAACACAAGGAAAAGAAAAGAAAAAGGGTAAAAAGGGTAAAATAGTTACAAAAAATGCAGCCAAATCGGCAAGAAAGTCATCTCTCTGTTGCTAGAAAAGAAATGACAATCTTTGAAAGAAGTTTGCCTGTCCCAGGAAAATGCAACACCAAGGCTTAAACCACATCATACCCTTTAATTGAACTCTCTTTCAATTTGGATTGTCACATGACTGATGTTATATTCCCTCCTAATATAGACAACAACTTTGTCCAGCACCAAATCAGCATCAGCATCAGGTTTAATCTTCACATGGCAAGCCAATGACACTTTCCCAACCGTGATTGCCCATATATGCAATTCATGGATTGCAACAACCTCATCCATCTCGCAAAGACCTTTTTCAATTCTGGTAGCATCAATTTCTCGAGGCGTGCTCTCCATAAGAACCTCAAGGATATTGCGCAACATCTTTATAGTGGTTCCCAGCACGATTACAGAAAAAACAAGTGTGCAAATCAGATCAACAATTTTCCATTCTGGCTTATACCATATAATTGCTCCACCAATCATCACCCCAATGCTTTGAATTGAGTCACCTAGTACGTGAAGGTAAGCCCCCTGGATATTGATGTTCCGTTGCTTCTTTTTATGTCCACTGTTTGACTTGTGTTGACTCTCCGAGCAACTCTTTTCAAGGAGAGGCTCAGTGTGATCTGATTCATGTGCATGAGGATGCTCACTATGTCCCTCATGATGGTGGTGATGCCCAGCTGTGCTCACCCCATGAGTATGCGTATGCTCATTTTCCTTCTCCCCATCGTCATCACTATGACCCTCATGTCCATGATGTCCGTGACTGTGAGCATGGCCATGTCCATGATGTCCGTGATTGTGAGCGTGGCTATGTCCATGATGTGCATGATCATGTCCAAGCACAAGAGCCATGATGATGTTCACTACTAAGCCAAAAGCAGACACCAAAAACATGAGGAAGCCCTGAACTTCACCAGTATCATGGATGAGTCTGGCAATGGCTTCATAAACGAGGATACCAGCAAGAAGCCATATCATCTGGATAGAGACCAATGCCCCCAAAATTTCTATGCGGAAAAACCCATAAGATTGGCGTGGATTAGCTTCCCATCCAGACGCCCAAATAGAAAACAAAGATATTGCAAAAGCAGCAACATCTGATAGCAGATGAGCAGCATCAGTCAGAATTGCAAGGCTGTTGGCTTTAACGCCTCCAACAACCTCAACACTCATGAAAACAATGCAGAGTACAACTGCAATCCAAAGCTTTTTCATGGACACTGAACGTTCTGAACTCGTTTTGGCATCTGATAATCCACATGGTGCTCCCTCACAAACTTTACTGGCAACGATGCCTTTTTCTACAGCCGGCCTATCAGCATCTATCTCAATCACATGTCCATCCTCTGAAACTTGTGCATCCATCTGAAACAATAGGATAAAATTATCAGTCGATAACTCCACGAACACAATCAATTGATGAATCAATGCAGTACCAGAAAAAAGAGATGTAGGATTCCTAGACAGGAGTAAAATGTAATAATCAGACAAGCTATCATAATGCTTAACGAGATTTCATCCAGATACCCTGAACAGCTTTCTAGATTCATAGTCAACATGAACCACACAACAAAAGTGATTGTAATTACAAAAACACTTCACAAGGACAAAGCTGAAGGGAGAAGTCACACCGCCATACTATGCAGCCATCCAGTCAATAAACAAAGCTAAATCTTGTTAATTCAAGTTTCTGCATACTTTTCTTTCTACCGTCTACACAAGGCAAGAGGAATTCTTTAAACAAAGCCAATACACAATTTGAGAAAATCAAGAAGCATCAGAATGTTCAAGACGTTTCATTAGGAGACAATAAAAGCTTGCTGAGATTTACAATTAAGATGAACCAAGTAATAAAGGTAATTCTAATGACAGAAGCACTTCATTAGCATAAAGAATAGAAAATTGCTCCAGTTTAAATACACGCTTCCAGTAGAGGAACAGAATTAAATCTTGTTAAGTCAAGTTTTTGCATACCTTTCGTTTGATTGTGTAAATCAGGCAAAAGGGATTCTATCAACTAAGTCAACAGCCAGTTTAACAATATTTATTATGGAACAAATGGCACAACCAAAACCACAACATTGGTCCAAGCATAAACAGAACATTCTCATCCAAACAAAGATGATAGCGCCCAAAAGTAAAGAAACAGATGAACAATTAGTACAACAAGAAAAGCTAAGCTTGAATACCAGAGATCTGTGAATCTGCAAATTTGAAACTCAGAAAGAACAAAACCCTCAGTCAGGGGGATGCCTCAGCTTACCATAAAAATAAGAACCGAAACAGAAACGTTAAAGCAATCAAATAAAGAACAAGCAAACAAAACCAAAAACCAAAACGCTCAAAAGATACTCCAAATATGGTGCCATTCACATAGCTCCAAAAAACACAGCCACCAAATAATGCAATAAAGGAGACACATTAAAAAAGTATGAGTTAAAAACTTAATTCTTTATAAAGAATGTTACAAACTTCATGCAAAAGAAAAAGAAAAAAAGAACACGTATTTGGACACCACGACAAAAAGTTTTTTTTATTTTTATTTTTTGTGGGGCAACACCAGGACAAAAAGGTGGATCAAAAGAGAGCTTGTTGCCCAAAAGATGAAGTTGACAACCACCCCCAACAAACCATAATCAAGCAAAATGTCAAAAAAAAAAGTTCTTGAAATTACCAGAAAAAGGGGGAAAAAAAAACTTTCTGCCTTTTTGGCCATATGATGAATATAGCCATGAAAGTAAACCCATAATATATCAATTAATGCAGATTCAATATATCATCACCGTCCATGAAAGTAAACCCATAATGGGTTCAAGAATAAGGCTTTTAGTTTGATAAATGAACCCAAAAAATGGGACCTTTCAAGGTAATAAAACTTACCTGGTACACAGGAAACAGGCGTTTGATGGGGCCGATGAAAATGGTCTGGGGGCCCTTGGAGGCTTTGGAGGTGGGGCGGTAGGGAAGAAGATGGGAGTTAACTTCAAGTACGCCTTTCTAGAGGCAGGGGAGAAGCTGCAGAGATTGAGGGATTGCAGCTATGCAGGGACTCGGGCAATAATAAAAAGGTGTCTGATGGACGAATGAATGGATCCTTTGTGGCCTAGCGGTAATTGGTAATGATTGGGAGAGTAACTATGTATGTTTTTGTGGGAGTATTTTGACGGTACATAAACTTTCATTAGTATTAAATAAGTGACAAATAATTTGAATTTAAATTTAAAATAAATGATATATTATATGAATTTAAATTATATTCGACCGTAAAAGTGTATATAAATTGCCAGTATATGCAAGATTAATTTTTTTTAAAAATGTTTTGATGAAATATCTTTCTTTTCTTTGATAAGTGCGCTTGTGAAATGAAAACTGAAAAGATTGTTTAGAGAATATGCTAGTGGGTTTTAAGAAAGATTCGAGTTGAATTATTATGCTTAAATTTTAAATAGGGAAATTTGCCAAATTGGTCCCTAACATTTACCAAAAACACTTTTTTAGTCCTTTACATATAAAATCAGCCAGAATGGTCCTTCACATTTAAATTGTGAGCCAATGTGGTCCTATTGCTCGTTTTTGCTCATTTCTCCGGCTAAAAATAGCACGCCCCTCTCACATGGTCATATTTTTAGGGGCAAAACCGGAAACACATTTCATTACCCGTCGAAAGTAAAAGGAATGGCCATCTCTTCCAATCTTCCTCTCCTCCCTGCTGCACTGTTTCTCTTACTCCTCCCAACATCATCTGTCTTAGCCACTGAAAGAGAGCGCAAGACCTTCATCGTACGAGTTCGCCCTGATGCTAAGCCTTCCATCTTCCCCACTCACCAGCACTGGTACGAGTCCTCCCTCACCTCTCTCCTCTCATCTCATCATTCCACCGCTGCTACTGCCACTTCCCCTCCCCCTCCTCCTCCTCCTCTTCTTCTCCACACCTACAGCACCGTCTTCCACGGCTTCTCTGCTCAGCTCACTGTTTCCCAAGCTCACGCCCTTCACTCCTTCCCCGGCATTCTCGCTGTTATTCCCGAGCAAGTCAGGCAACTTCATACCACGCGATCCCCTCAATTTCTCGGCCTTAAGACCTCCGACAGCGCCGGCTTACTCAAGGAGTCCGATTTCGGCTCCGATCTTGTCATCGCTGTTATTGATACTGGGATATGGCCCGAGAGGAAATCCTTCGACGATCGGGACCTTGGCCCCGTTCCCCCCAAGTGGAAAGGCGCCTGCGTCCCCGGGAGGGACTTTCTGGCCACTTCCTGCAACAGGAAATTGATCGGAGCTAGGTACTTCAGCAATGGCTACGAGGCCACCAACGGGAAGATGAACGAGACCACCAAGTATCGCTCGCCCAGGGATTCAGACGGCCATGGCACCCACACCGCTTCCATTGCCGCCGGCAGGTACGTCTTTCCTGCGTCAACTCTGGGGTACGCTCGCGGCGTGGCTGCTGGGATGTCCCCCAAAGCTCGCTTAGCTGCGTATAAAGTTTGTTGGAACTCCGGCTGCTTGACCCTTCTGGCAAGAGTTCCGAAAGGCCTGAGCTTGACCTTGAAACCCTCCAGAAGAACATTTCTGGGATTTTCGCCACCATTCGGGGATGCAATTTAGGGTTTCTTGAAACTTTGAGAGTCAAAGGTGAAATGTGTATTTTGGTGGTTGTGCATTCCTTTTACTTTCGACGGGTAATGAAATGTGTTTCCGGTTTTGCCCCTAAAAATATGACCATGTGGGAGGGGCGTGCTATTTTTAGCCGGAGAAATGAGCAAAAACGAGCAATAGGACCACATTGGCTCACAATTTAAATGTGAAGGACCATTCTGGCTGATTTTATATGTAAAGGACTAAAAAAGTGTTTTTGGTAAATGTTAGGGACCAATTTGGCAAATTTCCCTTTTAAATATTCACTATGTTCCAAATCTTCTGTCCATTCATTGGAATTTTGAACCTAATGATGATGGCACTGTGATGGTAATGACTATAAAAAATTATGAGCTATTTTGTTCCTTGAGATTTAAAATTTGAAACCAAAAACGCCTTGACTTAGGCACTTGTAGTAAAATAAGCAAATTTAGATATAAAGAATTAGAAGTTTTGAATTCTAGTATTTTTATTATTTTTGAGTTTAGTCTATCATATTAGTGTTCTCAAACCACATCTGGGCTAGTTAGTGTTTAATTCAATTAAATAATAGAATTTACAATTGTGGGTTAGTTGATTCTTTTTATGGTGGGTTAGGTAGTGTTTAATTCAATTAAATAATAGGGCTTACAATTGTGGGTTAGCTGATTCTTTTTTTAATAGAAAAAAGTTTGAACGAGTACAACTCTAATTCTTATTATGGGACAGAATATATTTTCAAAATCATAAATAGCTCTCAGAGATTTTTATAAGTCTCTCGCACACAATCTTTTATAAGGAAATGACACGTCCTTATCTATCGGTTAAACTTGTATTAGCGTGGATTAGTTGATAATATCCATGAATTCCTTGCACCATTTGTGAGTTGGTTGCGTATTGGAAAAATTGGAAGTAGAAACAATTTTTTAGGTAGTGGGTTCCACGTGAAAGTAACTCATTGTCACGGAAACGTCCGTGACTGGGGATTTGAAGCCTAGTAATCTCTATCACTTGTGGTTGGTACATCATCTTGTTTAGTTGTGTAATTTCTTTGCATTAATCTTTACTACTATGGATTAGTGTAGAATATTACATAGTTCTAGCTATGTTTTAATAGTCCTCAAATCATTTTTGCCGTAATTATGTTGAGATTAGAAAGAATAACCAATTTAGTGTGGATTAGTTTGTAATAGCGTGGGCATAACGTAACTATAGATTAGTGTTCCTTATGCTTTTTGTGGATTAATTTATGTTGATGTTTATCACACAATTATGGATTAATTTGTAATGTTATTGATATGCAAGTTGATTGTATTTATCTCACCACTATTGTTTAGTTGTAATCTTGAAAAAATATATATATTTTTTAGAAAATATATTTTTTAGAGAATATATATGTATATATATATATATATTTCAGAGACTGAAAGCAACAAAGAAAATGGATAAGCATGTTGGCTAGTTTTAATTGACCATTCAAGGAATACCGACTTTTTGGCTTTTAGGAATACCAAAAAATAAGAATTGTGATTGATGAGGACAGAGTCTTGCCGCGGGAAGTCAACTTAAATTAGTGTCTAAACCGAGTTGATCAAATCAAGAAACATAATTATTTGTTTTTGATTTGATATGATAAGATCGGTTTTCTTCCAAGATGACTGCCTGAGTATTTCATTTTCTTTTGTAAAGCGACGTCTAGTTCAACTTGATAACTACAACATTTTGCTCATAAAGATGGAATTACTTTTATTCTTTTTAATTAGAGCTTTCAAACGGTATTTCTGAGCAAGCCCTGCTTACAGACTAAATAAAATTTTTGGGCCTTCAAGTTTGGACCTATATTAGAAGGCTCAAGTTCAGCTCACATCTTTATATGAGTTTTACGCTCACGTCATATTCAATTCAAACTTATAATTAAAGACATAATTATATATAATATACGTTTGATAAATATGAATTATTATAAATTTACATATAAATTATTATAAATTTAAATTATGATATGTATAATGATAAATATATACATATATATTTTTTACGTGTATAAATATAAAAATTATATATAATATATGTATATGATGATTATGTGTGTGTGTGTCTATATATATATGTATGTATGTATGTATGTATATAAATGTGCTTACAAGTGGGCTCGACCTTAAACGGGTCTTAACCTGACAAAGTTTAGAATCAGTTCATCTTTAATTCAGGCCTAATATTCATGCCCAAATTTTTTTAGCCTCAAGCAAACATTAGGTTTTAAGGGTATTTTTTTGGATTGAGCGGGTCTAGTTTGGAATGGCCTGTCCCATTGACAGCTATGTTTTTCAGATCCGAATCGGGTAGTGACTCGGTCAAGCTTAGGGGTTAGCGGCCAATGGGTTCAATTGGGGGTTGAACCGGATGTTGTCATAAGTAACAATTATTTAAAAATTAAAATATTGTATGTAAAATACCTAAGCACATGTTAATATTAATAAATGTATATTAATATATATTTGATGTTTCAAATGTATTTAACAAAAAAATACAAAGGAATTAGAACAATCAAGTAACAATTTATATT